CCCCCCCCCCCCCCCCCGCCGCCACCTGGTCACAGCCCATAAAACCCAGGCATGGGCAGCGCACCTGCGCAGCTTCAGCAAGGCCATGTCTGCTCGTGTGGGCTCCAAAACGAGCTTGGACACTTCTATTTCCTGAACATCCGGTTCAAGATTCACTTCATGGTGTGCACCCAAGATGACTTTGTAATATGAAGGCCTTGAGGACCTGGAAAAGACGGTGATGTCAGGAGCAAAATATGGCCCGGCACCTTTCTTGGGTGCCCTTCTGTGCCCTAAACAGGGCGGCGTCTCCTGGAGACCTTCGGCCACCCAGAATCAGAGACTTCTGAGTGGCAAGAAGTAAAATTCACGATTTGTCTGAATATAGCCACTAAGGAATGTTCTAGGGCTGCTGGGGTTGGGTGGGGGACCAGTGCCTGTCATGGTGAAAGACTGTGTCCTGCGGTTTATCCAGGCCTACAAAATCACCTGCCCTGGTTGGTCTTCCACAGTTTCTCTCTAGAAACACTCCCCACACCCACCTCCAGTCACCCCAGCAATTCTGCCTCAGGATCCTGCACTTACACTCCCTCGTCCCGAGTGTCACTGCCATAAAAGGAAGGAAGGAAGGGGGGTAGTTGTTAAGACAAGATCTGGTGTCAGCGGTCCCTGCACATACTTCTCCAAGCAGTGGGCGGCAGTCAGCACCCACTCCGGGGATATCAACGTGCCTCCACAGAAGTGCGTTCCAAACCTGCAAGGAAAGCACGGCAGGATTTTAGTTCAGATCTCAGGGTTTACCCTGCTCCATCTACAGAAAGCCAGAAAGATGCATTCGTTCAATTGTGATGATGTGGATGTGCCCAGAGGAAAAGGCTACCAGCCCATCCTCAGGATGGCAGTGACTTTGATGGTAGCAACTGCTTCAGTTGTGCAGTTTTTCAGAGGGTCTCATTTCTTAGCCTTTAGGAGGGCTGGGGAGGCTCAGGCTCTGCTTGGCCACAGTTGAGCAAAAACAAGTGGCTCAAACACGAAGTCCTACATCCATGGCTTTGACCCCTTAGCCCTGGACTCCAACAGAAATCTCCCTTGACGTCTCTTTCATTTCCTTTTTGACAAGATCAATGCAAGATCTGATGCATCATTTTTTTAGGGAGCCAAATGTGATCTCAAACCACAGTGATTCATGGGAGTCTGCTAATCTTACCTAAGAAACTTGACTATTGGGGGTGTCCCCTAAGTCACCCACCTCATGGGACTGCTTAGGCATGCTTATAATAATGGCGTGAGCTATGCCAAACCAGATTGTAGTGAAAAGCAATACAAACAGCGAGCGCTTGATATCAGGCATGTTAATAAATCAGTCAAGAAATAAACCACCACACAGTTTGGGAAAGAATGAATTTGAAATATGCAGAAGGTGGAGGCTCTGTGTAGCAAGGAGTTATTAAATGATAAGCAATAAAAAACCAACTCAACAGCAGAGTGAAATGCAATGGAATCGAGTTTAGCAACGGCATTTCACAAGTTTATGGAGGGAAGGCTCTTTAGTAGAGAAGAGTAATCGAGCGCATGTCTGCAGGCATAGAAATGAGAAAAGGAAGTAAAACAGGCCGGCAGAGGAGCATGTTTTGTGCATGTGCTTTATAAGAGACACCCAAGAAACTAATCTTATTAAATGCATTTTCCACTGAAACAACAGCCCAGACTGTCTGGACTCTGTAGAATCAGACCGACCGCTCTTAAATGACGGTGATCACAAACTATACTTTGTTCACGTGTTTGTGAATGGGTGAACAGCCCCTGCACTGAATTCAATGATTCACAAACGTGTAAAACAAACAAAGGATCTGTATCTCTGATAGACTGTAGATAATTTTATCCTTGCACCACCCCCAGCCCTGCGAAGTGTCATGTTTCTAAAAATATCCCTCTCTTTTCATTTTGCAATGAGACCATGGGTGTCTATATAAACCCTCAAAGCAACTTCAATATCTTCCCAGCAATATGGGAACTTGGGGTTGATTACTGCATCTACCAATTTTGATTGTTCCCCAGATCAAGGAAAAGATTCCAGTTTTGGCCATTTTCCAAGTAGAGAACCTAGAAAAATATACTTTTTTATATTTTTATAGCTCTTTTTCCTCCTTAGGAAAGCACAGGGGCAGGTACTGATTTCTCCACTGTGTGGGATTGGTGTAAATGCAGAAAGGCTTTACGGGACCCCCACAGAAGGGTGGTATCAATCGTTTCTGGGAAGGGTCTTACCGTGTTCTAAGACTGATTTGCCAGGGCCAGGAATGTGCGTGGGCCACACACCCTCCTACGACCCTTCCAGAACATTTCTTCGGCTCCACTTGGGGTTTCCCACAGTCAAATGAAGAGGACGCTGTGGCACGACATGGGGAAGAGTCACATTTGAGTCAAAGGTAGCAATTCTGTCACATTATTCAGGATACATTTGTGGCTCAGGGCCAAGCATTAAATTTTTGACATTTCAAAGCCCAAACTAGACAGTAAAATCATAACCATCTTTTGGACCAGTTTCTCCAAGTTTCAGAAGTGGTAGCAGGCAACACGGAACCCTCTCCTTTCAAGGAAACACTGCAAGGACTTTTGTATTATTTTCTTGGGAAAGTGATAAAATAAATAGGTATAGTTCAGCACTAGACCGAGATCTTTTCTAAGAGGACCTTGATTGGCACAAATAGTTATTTGTTATTTAGAAGCTATATCATCATTTCCACCCTCCTCCTCACCATCCCCATCTAAACCTTGTAAAGTTTACAGAAAACCATAGTTGTCATCTCTATTGAGAGGCACTAAGGGTATTTTTCTCATGTGAATCTCTGCATGTGCATGTGCATGTACGTGTGTGTGTTGTGTGTATGTGATTGGACATGGCAAGGATAACTTAGGAATTGAAATGTGGCTTTTTCTAGGCCAGCTTCAGGACACCTCCTCCAGGGAGCCTCCCAGGACTACCCAATGCTGTGGGAACGACCTGTGCACACTTACCTTTCTTCTCTGCTTACCTCCTTCCTCCTCCCCTCTCCAACTAGCCTGCAAGGTTCCTGGAGAGTAGGTTAGTACCTCATCTTTGGTACCACCTACTAATGTCTACAACAGTTCAGGGGCAACAAAGGGTGTTCAAAAATGCTCCTCTGTTGCCTGCAACCCCTAAAGGTCTTCAGAAACATAAATGCAAGCCATTGCTAATAACAATTGCAAAAGGAAATCCTGTCTTCATCAATCAGAGATTCTACACTCTAGTGAATCTGGAACCTGAATTTTCCAAATGACTTTCCATTTGCCATGTCTTGTTCTGAGAATCAATATAGAGAATTATTTTTTTAAAAAGAAGCATGCCATGAAATGAAATCACCCTTTTTAATGCTGAGCTCAGTTTTCAATACTGTGCCTTACATATAGCAGACGTCAATAAAGGTACTAAGACAATAACTACAGAGATGATGGTACCCTGGTCTTACTATTAAAAAAAAAAAAAAACCCTGAAAGTTTCTATTTATTTTTACTTATTTATTATTTGTACTGAATGTGTTGATAGAAATGGAGTTGTTAAAATCATTCAACAAACGAATACATAATTTTATGTGAATGAAAGTATGTAAATAAATAAAGTTATGTTTAAAGTGGGCATTCTTTCCATTTTTGAAGTTAATGTTAAAGAGGAAAACCATACAATCCCTTGGTGAAGCTGGGAAGAATAATATTGGACTGAATAGACTATGGTTCTGGTTTCTTACGCTTCACTTATGTTATTTTTTTTATTTATTTATTTTTTCCTTTTTTT